CGTGGCACCTCGACTGACACGTCGGCGTCACCTTGGCCACGTGTTGGTAATATTTCTTTTACTGAATGATGCTTTTGCATCTCAAAATCGTGCTTTAGTAATTTCTAGAAAACTTTTTCAATGTAACAAATACATACTGTTTGAGTATTGATAGTTTGGTTCCAATTATGTTTTATAAAATAAAAAATAGTAATTTGGATCTGGTAGTTTTATGACAATTGTAAAATATGGACGTGTGTGTATTGAATCTATATTGATATATATATATATATATATATATATATATTTCAAATCTTATCTAATCAAATATTTGCAAAACATATGAAACATATTCGTTTTTATGACTTTTACATAAACATTAGATTGTTTAAGAGTTCTATATCATGTATATCACTTTGGTGTAATTTTTGTAAATTCATATGCGAATTTTGGTTGGCTGTGAGATATTATTTTTGAGTAACTGTTTAGTAGTGATTCGTAATATGATATTATATATGCTTTGATGGGTTACAGATTGCATTATTGTTAATAAATAGATAAAGTTTTAAAGGTGGACAAATATTTATTTTTGTAGTCCCAGTTAGAAGTTTTTTGAATTAATATGGGTGATACTGCTGAAGTGGTTAACTTATTGAGATTTAAATTGATTTACCAATAAGGATTCTGGGAAGCTCTTCTAATATTATATCACTCAATTATATACCCAAAGGGGTTTAATCGAGTGTATTCATTTTAGAGGTAGTGTGAGCTACTAGTAAGGGAAATTTTATTATTTTTGAAAGAATTTATCTACCCAAAGGAGATAATTTCTTGATAAATCATTCTCACTAGTTGACTTGTTTATAGGTGTTAGAATGTGTCTTATATATTTAGCCAAAAGGTATTTATATGATGGTACATTCTAAAACATCTGACAATATTGTTAAAGTTTATTTGCTGCCCATTGTTGTGAGATTATAATTATTGCCCATGTATAATTAATTAAGATTATATTGAAGTTTAAAGATGTTGATTGTATTCTGTATATTCAACCCAAATGTGTTTATATAGTGATACATTCTGGCACACCTAAGAATATTGCTAAAGTTTATTCGCAGTATATTCTTGTGAGATTATACTAATTGCTTATGTATAATTGAAAGTTGGAGTTGTGAACATGCTTTCTATATATTC